AATAAACATTTGATTTTCAACCATGTTAAACTGGGGTGCGCGTCTTGTGCAAGGGCACGTGCTGGTACTTGAGTAAATACGGAATCACTTTCAAATTATTTGCAATGAAAAGCTGATCTCAAGTCCTTTTCTCTAAAATTCAAGTGGGACTGCTTGGTATTTTTGAAAGTATTGGGTGTTCTTATGATCGTGCAAGTGAGCATGTTTCCAAAGAAGCGTGTTTCACAAAACAGTGCATATCCATCATGCGAACAGAGCTTGTCCAGTAATTAATATTGTTAATGATTTAAAAAATATCCAAGCAGAAGCAAGCAACCCTGAATGCCAGTTGATGAAATCCCAGATAAGGAAGTTTCTATAGAGTAGTTACAGTGCTGCCCAACATATGGCCCGCGGGCCGGATTCAGCCCACATCAGAGACTCTTCATCCATTCCATGTTCCCTTCCCAAAATTTTCAATTCAAAATACGTATTGAAAAAGGAATTTGAACTTTTGAAATGCTGTTTATTTACCCCTTTGAAAATTTTAGAAAGCTACGTGTGATCAAGGATCACAAAAGAATATGAATAAAAATGCATGCATTCTTTTGAAGGCCAAGAACACACACTCAAGGGGTTTCCTTGAATATATGTTCAATGTTTTTCAATCATTTATATTATGATCTTCAGCAGAGTTGAATACAAAGAATAAGCAAAAAAAAATTCCCAAAACAGATTTGAATAAGTCACAGGAGTAACACAGATTTGCACACACAAATCAAAATAAATAAATATATAATTGTTCAAGGGAGTTTAGGACAGACTGACTTAAAATCAAATCATTTTTAGCTTTGATTAAGGAGAAGCCGGCTAGAGGAAACCAATGAAGGTTTCCTCTCTTGTTTTCTCCTCAACAATAAGCTTTTGATTCAATGCATAGCACTGAATTACACTTTTTAAATGTTAATTTAAAATGGGGAATATTTGGAACCTCTAAAACTAATGCCTATTGTGGGCCACAGCAAGGACTCTCCATCCCTGCAATGCAGTCCTTTGTCAAAAAACAGAAATGTATAAATGTGGCCCTTGACCCTTTGGGGCTTTTACCGAGTTGGGCAGCAGGTACTGTACTGTTTTGGACTACAGTACTGTATTTTGAAAAAAAAAATGTTACCTGACATCCGTCTTTGCCGGCTTCCCCACCGGCACAAAGTTGGGCAGGAACAATGACGAGAGATCTGGCATAGGCTCTCAGAAGGCTCTGACACTCCTTGTCCGAAACGTATTTCATGGTCACGTATTGCATTTGAGGGGCCAATGGCCCGTCAACACTCGTGACCCCGTATCCCGGGAGCGTTAGAACCGCACCAGCTGAGGAAAGAAAAAGAGATATATATATATATATATATATATATACAGTACTGGGATTATTTTTCAATTGGTACATGAAAGTATTCTTCAATTCCTTTCCATGCGAGAAATCGAAATGAAAATGCTACCAACGGCATAAAAATGCTGTTTCGAAGCCTTAGAATCACCCCAGCTGAAGATGCGAGAATTCATCATTACATTTTTTTATTATTTCTACATTATCGAAATAAGAATTAAAAATGCTTTTACTGACATATGGAAATGCTTTTTAAAGCTTTAGAACCACACCAACCGAAGATAGAAATACTGTACTAAAGAACAATACATATTGCTATTCCTTTTTTTTCTGCCAGAAAAAAAAAGAATCAAGAAATGATTTAATGCCATCAAGGGATTGGCGTTTTTTTCGGCGTAGAATTAAAATCATCGCGCAAAGCCGTAAAAAAAAGAGAGAGCTGAATATCATTTTATTATTATTTTTATTTCCGTCAGATGAAGAATCGAAGATGCTTTCGAGTTTATGCAAATGCATTTTTTAAAGCTTGAAAGCATTAGAATCACAACCTTGAGGCAATGATAAAAAGAGATTATTGTTATTCAATTTTGAATATTTATACATTTTAAAGAAAATTTTATATTTCTTCCAAGTAAAGTATATGCAATTTTTAGTTTTAGTGATTGACTGAGAGTGATTTGCCTTAGAATCAATCCAGCCGAAAATGAAAAAATAGATAAAAAGAGCGATGATTCTTATTGATCCTAATTCTGTCAAAATAAGAATTAAAAATGCTTTGGATGAGGTTTTACCTGTGGGATCCTCGGCGTGTGTGTATGGTAACTTCACGGGTTTTGTATTTGCGTTGAAGATTATATCCTTGTCCAGTTTGACGACAGAAATATCGTTTCCGTGCGCAGGTCTGGCATGAACGAGTCGGTTCGTGCAAAAAATTATAGAAATTTGCATGATGAGCTGCAGTCAGTATTCGAACCTTGATTTCTTTTTGTTAATGTATCTCCGATTAAGCCGGCAATTCAAGCAAGGACGTTATTATTAAAAGTTTAAAAATTAAAAAAGTGCGTTTTACGATCAAGTAAAAACCGATTTCGTTTTTCTCGCAAAAAAAAAAAAAGCCGAAGAGGTGCGTCTCGTCGAGCGTATTTTATTTATTTATTTTTTAAACGGCGCGTGGAAATCAGACAAAAAAGCGAGAAAAGACTCGTATAATTTTCGGTTAGGCACGACTGCACGAGAGGATAAATCGTTCATGACGCTTAACAATAATGAATGACCTGATTGGAATTAACTGGATAAAATTTTTGGTAAGGCTCATCGGAAATACTCACCGTCTAAGTTTCTCGTGCGGTACGATTTTGATCACGGTGTAACTTCTCGAGGAAGGCTCACTGACTCGAATGTTTGTAATCGTCCTGCCCGTAAACGCCTTTAGGACGTAGGTTCAACATTAAAATTACGACACTGTATTTTCAATCACGGAAAAAAGAACAAACAACAATGGATCCTCTCAACAATGGATCAATTTTCCGAATGTTTCAAGCTATGATTACGAGTTCAATAAATAAATTCCCCAATAAAAGGTTCGTTTTCAAATGTTATCCGAATTTATTTGTATTTATTGTGGGATCGCAAAAATATCCCGGACGTTTGTATACCAAATGAAGAGTCCTCAAACGGTTATTATACGATTTTACCAGATCCGCGTGGATTGAAAACAACTTTTAAAAAAATACCACGGCTGCGCAAATTTTGGAAGTATTATTTGAATTTATTCTTTGGACTTCCGAGTGAAACATTTCTCATTGTTTTGGGAACTTTTTTAACAGAATCGTGGAGTATAAAGAGAAAAGATGGCGGTTGCGATGAAAAATGTGTTTTTTGTTTCTCGTGAATGTAAGTTTTGTGTTTTACATATTCTGAGATTAATCCCAAGATGAACGCAGAGGAATAAGAAGATAAACCTCCATGGCAATCAAGTGGAAGAAACTTTCACTTAGGGCTGGGAATTGAGTACTGTACTAAATAATGCAAAAAATATTTAAATAAAAATAGGGCTGGCAATTGAGATTTAAATACTGTACTGTATATTCTGCTGTTACATATATTGAAAAATAACGTCGTTTCCATTTCATTGTAATCGACAAAGTTTGGATCATGAGTAAAGCACTATAAATTGAGGTACTATATTTAGCGACGCAAAACGAAGCGTTTATTTAAAATAAAAAAATGAAGCGTAAGTCATGCTTAACAGACGACAATATTCTAAAAAAATGAAATACAGTACTGCATATAGTTGTTCGTAATCCTGTTTCATAAATCGAATTTTGGAATTTACTGTATTGCTTTTAAATTGTCAAGTTCCGCATTACAAAGGAAAAAAAAAACAAGTGGACTTCCATACCCTAACACTTCGTGGGTTGTTTCTGTACTGTGTCAAACAGTGACCTGCGGATAAAACCCATCTGGCGTTGAGGATGGATCCCCCGCACATTGGCACGTCGTCGTCCAGCACAAACATGACCATTGACGGGAACTGACCCGAACTGGCCCTGCAAAAATTATTGCGATTTGCAGTACCAAATTATTCTGGATAAAAAAAGCAGGTCTATAATCCGCTTTTTGCTATGAAGGATTTTTTGCCTTTTTTGTGACAAAGTTTCTGCTGTACCAAGCTGAAAATTTTTACAATTTTGGCTGAATGATTTTCTGAAGTAGCCAGAAAAAAAAACGTGGATTTGATTTGAAGAATTTAATTATGATTTCACAATAGATCTTTATAAATCCTGTTATTACACTTAAGTTTTTTTGGGACCCTGGAAAATTTTCGAAATATTATTTCAACAGCCCTTTTGTAGCCTTTTTTTAAAATTCAAAACCATCCGTTTATTTATGGGGATTTTTTTTTCAATCCCAGCATTCCCTATGCCGTTTATAGACACAGAGAAAAAGTCAATAAGCTGTTTTTAAATGCATTTGAGAAATCATTGAATTGTCAGGATGTCGAAACCTAGTATCTTGCAATTGAAAAATAAAACACACATGCAATACTGACATATATCCTAAACGCAAATGGGAAAAAAATCAACAATTTTTAAAGTTCATTGACGTTTAACTGGCAGTGTGGTGCATCGACCACAAAGACGAATAAATTGAATAATAAATCAGGCTGAAAGACAAATTTGAGATGAATAAAACACGTACGCCGCCGGGGACTCGGCAGGGAGCCTTTGGTCAGGTCTCCAAAAGAAAAGCGGTTCAAATTGTATTTCGAAACAAGGAAAATAATCAACACTAATGAGATGAGATGTTTGCACTTTGCGAGGTGAATTGAGACTGTAATGTTAATTAGTGAGAGGGGGAAAATGGCAAGACAATTGGAATTCCACGCTGGAATTCCAACGTGGAGTTTTTCTGCAGGCAATGGTCGGGAAAGGCGGCTTGCGCCACCTATCCCTTACATAAACCCCCCTGGAGTGGCGACATCTTCGTGAGAAGAGGTCGCTGCTCCAACCGAGTAAGGGATAGGTGGTGCAAACGGAAACGGTTTACTGGGTACTTCAGGTTTAGACGGGCGGATTAAAAATTTCAAAGATTCTTAAGATTAGTAATGGATTCGGGTCCAAGAATTTTCGAGAATATTCCAGTAGGTTCGAGAATTTTGCAGAAAGAAGAAGTGTCCCATAGAATCATCCCAATCTGAGTGGCCAGCTCAGACGAGGATGAGAAGACGCCGCATGCGCATGAAATGAAGTTTGAAGTGCTTTTTAGAAAAAGTGAAATAGTTTTTCGAATTGTTTGAAAGTGAAGTAAAAAGAATTCGAAGTTATTTTTATGCGCGATGTTAGTCACAAACAAACCATGCAATGTGTTGAACCATGTATGCTTTAGACGTAAGAACATGAAAGAACGAGAAGGTGTGCAAGAGTGGAAGAACTTCATGAAAGAGAGAGATGGTTCTGATGCTTGAAATGCTTGAGATGCTTGAGATGCTTGAGATGCTTGAGATGATAACAATGTAATGACATAGTACATTCGTTTTTTAGGAGTGAATCGCGTGCAAAAAAACAGGTCTCGTCGTTTAATAAAGAGATCGCGTTTCGAATATTTTGGTATCATCGGGTGTAATCGGTTGACAAGCTTCTCGGTCAACGACGTGCTGATTCTCGTTTGGCAACTTTGATTGAGTGGAACGACTGCGTTGGATCGTCATGGCAAGTGGAGGTCCTCCCAAGACTCCGGATGAAGTTGCTGGTATGTCTGCGAAGCAATGCTGAAACGGATCTGAATAACAAAGTTAATTTATGCCCGAAATGTTGCAGATGAGCTGAAAGAGTTAATGAGCCAAATTTCATCAATCAAGGTTAATCCGAGGAAGCGTTTTTCCGTCAATCAAGTTAGCGCGGCGATGTTGACGGGTTCGGTGAACTCAAAAGAGATGGGCACGCTGACAAAGGAACAGAGGGAGAGGGTAGACAAGTTCATTAAGGTATTGTTCGAGAAGGAATATATTTGAATATGTGTAATGAGGAAAAAATGTTAATGCAGGTCGCTACACAAAGTGAATTTGTTGCTGAGTCGGAGTTAAGAGGTGCAGAACGGGAACTTCAACTGAAAAGGATGAGGATTGCGGGAATCGGCGAAGAATGCAATTTATTGGAAAATACAGAAGGTGTATTGAAAAAGCGAGTGGAAGAAGAAAAAAGGAGACTGGATCAGGCTCTGGAGTTGCAGAAACAGGAGGACGCAGCTCTAAAGCTAGCCTTTCAGCGAATGTTAATTGCGGATACGTGCTCTATAAATGAAGCTCTTGGTTCTGGACGTTGGTATCTGGCTAACGGGGTTTCATTTGCTGGAAAGGATGAAGGTTCGTAAAGAAGAAGGAGAAGTAAAATAAGAAAGATATAAAGTATGGGTTATGTGTATTTTTCAGATGGTGTGCGTACTCTAAGATTCAGGAATGGGGAACTTGTAATGGGATCTGCTGAGAACTTGCTACCTGCCTGGATTTGTGACATGAATCAAGAAGACGGAGATAAGAAAAGTGACCTGCTTAAATCCAATGACGAGGGTACTAATAAAAGTACTGAAAATAAAGTGGCAATTCAAAATGAGGAGATTAAGAACAACGAGGTTAATGTCGACCCAACAAGTTACGCTGCTAGCAAAGCTAGTTTGGTTCGGACTGAATTCGAGCTCCTTTCGGACGGTAAAATATGATTTCTCATGTTATTCTATCTATTGTTTCAAGTTTAGTTTGTTTTAGATGGGTTTGACTAATGTAAAATTTTCATATGCTTATTACAGATGTTGTGGCAAAAATATTCCTGATAACAAAATTCGCGCCAGAGAACTGTATTCAGTACTATCGGAACGCATCGCGAACCATGAACATAACGGAGCATCTTTTAGAGATATTGGGGGATTGGAAAATTCCCCTACCTATTCCCGGATGCGTGGTGGAGGATTACAATTTTGCTACGGAGGGATACATGTTTACTGGGCCTAAGAGGACAAATTCGGACATGCCTGCCGTGCTTATCTTGAGCACTTCGATGACTTCTGGTTTTGGCTTAGGACAATATGTGTTTAGGACACGTATTAATGAGCCGCAATCCGTGCGCTGGCCGATACCAAATTTTTCATATATGGTGTCGGATATGGGTGTAGAGGTGAACCAGGTGAGCATTTTTGTTTGGGAATTGTACTTTATGAAGAGCGTTCATTAATAGTTCAATCGTTCTAATAGGTCTCTATTAGTGGATGGTGCGCTGCTCTATGTCAAAATTGCCTAACAATGAGGGAACTGAAAGATTTGGTTTTCCGTGGCTTACACATTGCTCCGTTGTACAAGTTCTTGCAAATTTACTTTCGTAATGGGACGAACAATGTTAGGGGGCTGTGTACTTTTAAATTTCATGACATACGATTTACTGGGTTTGATTCGTTTTTTGAGATGTATGAAGCGTATATGGCTGATATCGTTAAAACGTTTAATTGTGATGTAATTGCGTTGGGTGCGGCTCCGCTGTCGGCTGCACCATTACTGCAAAGCCCAGATAGCATTATGTTGGATGCAGATAAGAATGGATTGCCATTAGTTCCTCTCCGCTCAAATGAGAACATCGAAATTGTAGAAGAAGAAGATCGTGAAAGGGCAGGACGTTTATTTCTGAAGGAAATCTACAAGCGTTTGGCGGCAATTGATGGGATCAAGAACGTGGTGGACTCTGAACAAAACTTGGGCTGGATCGCAATGCCTACACCTATCGATGGACTGGCTGCTCTTAGCAGTGGGAGAGGGAAACTGACGGACTTCGGACATATTCTACCATCAGGATATTTGACGTTTGCAAAGTATCATTGTATGGTGTTATGGAGAGGAATTTGTCTTTTGCCTGGACTATCTGATTGTTTGGGAAGACTGTGCTTGGGACAATGTCCTTGTTGGTTGGATGACGGGACGGCATCGATTGGTGTCACACCGAGTGAATTGCACAATCATTGCGGCTCTTTTGGCCCTATTAAAGATTGTGTTGGTCCGATTTCATCAGCTGGGAATTTGTAAGTTTCTTATGAAAAATGGAAGGGAGATTTAATGACTGATGAACTAAAGAAATTCCATTTTACTTTACAGTGATGCCAACAAGGTGAGGAGATACAATTTTGAGGAGTGTTTCCTGACTGATGATGCTTTGTTGACCTCAAGGAGCAGGAATCAAATTGAAGTTGGTGATATTGTACGTGTGCAAGGTACAAAAGGGACTCGTATTGTTATTTCACATACAGTTGGGGGCTTTTGGACTGTAGGATATGGAGGGGAGCAGTACGCCAAAGCCAGTAAGGTCATCCTGGCAAATGGGGTCGTTACCGTTAAGTTTTCTGAGTAAAGGGAAGAGAAAGAAAGATGTTTCTTGTTTTGAATGCAGGTGTCTTCTGTGTCTCATGCGATGTGATTGACGGGTAATTTTGAGTTACTGATTTATTGAGGTATTGATCTGATGATTTTTATATGATTCCATCAAAATTGTATCTGGGTTGAGAAAGGAAAAAGTCGCTGGGGCATTGATTCGTTTCGTTTTGCCGGTTGAATTTGTTTGTTGTTGATGAAATGATGTACAGATCGTTATAAACTTTGTTGATTCAAAAACGTCTTTTATTCAACTCTTTTTATTTTTACTCAACCACTTTTGATTTTAACAGGGATATAAGGTTAACTGTTGCATTTTTGTGATTCTCGTTTTGTTCAATTTCCATCTCCAATGGGACAAGATTTTGAATAGACTGGTTTTTTAGGATTTGTTTGATACATTCTCCTTCATCATTGGTATGAATAACTACGATGTCCACCGATCGAATTAGTCTGTCTCTTGAGCTTTGATTTACTTTCAGGATTCTGCATAAACGCCATCTTAATCTGTCTAATGGGGAATTGGTTTTGAACATTTGGCTGATTAAAAGAACAATTTGATCTTCCTTGGGGAGGAGCGGTGAATTTTTGTTCTTATAGGGAAATTTTCGCAAGGCTTTAATGTAAGAATTATAGAATGATTTCCATACTTTTTCAACGATTTTCATTCTATATAGTGTTTGATTAGTGTATTCGTTCTTATCATTACATTCAAGGAATTCCAACGCTCTGGGTCCGTAATGTAAACTGTTGTTGTTCCAGTCTGCTAAATGGGGGTGTAAAAACATAGCTGGAGTTATGATCATGGGTGATTCTCTATCATCAGCAAGGTATGTTAATGGTCGGGAATTGATTGTGCTTTCTACCCATGTTATTGCAGCAAGAAGGGTATTTTTATTGGAGAAGGGTACGCCTTTAAAGGATCTTGCTAGGGAGTCTTTTATTATTCTCATAAGACGTTCGTAAAACCCGCCCCACCAAGGGGCTCTGGCAGCGTTGAAATACCACGTCACCTTTTTAAATCGATTTTTGATTTGTCTTCTATGTGATTGGAGGAATTTTGGCCATGCACTACGGAATGTGGCTGCATTATCTGAAACGACTTTCTCAGGTGTTATTTGACATCTATGGCAAAATGTTTCGAATGCACCTATAAAAGATAGTAAAGAGACGTCTTCTACTGGTTCAATATGTACTGCTCGTGTAACTGTATAGGAGAAGACGCATAGAGATATTTTCATTGATGGTATTTGCTTGATTACTTTATGTCCTTTAGTACATACTTTGTTCTTTTGCTTTGCATTTTGTATATTTTGTTTAGTTTTATCTAAGTTAAAGGTTTCAAACGGTCCTACGAAGTCGATGCCGATTTTTTGAAATGGCGTTTTTCCCGTGTAACGGAAATCTGGCAATGGTGCTATAGGTACTTTGAATGGTTTGCTATCAAATCTTCTACAGTGAAAGCATTCTCTTCTTACCTGTTTTGCTAATCTTCTACTTCCTGGTGCCCAATATTCCTCAAAGAGGATATTTAGTATTTTGTTTACTGAACAGTGACCGTTATTTTGATGTATTG